TTGTTTTTGAATTACAACAAAATAAGGAAATCGCTACATGAGAAATTGAGTGAATATCCAATGTTGTAAAAATTTGAATTTCAAACGCTCATAAAAATTTATTTTGACTTTCCGGCAGAGATTTTTTTATTGATAAAGGTAGACAAACTTATGAGTAATCTTGTATTAGATTTTCAAATCTTAGATTTTAAAAGAAAAATTTTTACGAATTCTTAACTCAAAATAATTTGCTAATTTTCGTGATTTTTCCATATTTTGTCAATTTTTGAACTTTAAATGCTTATAAAAAAAAACTGTGACTAAGGATTTTTAATATTTTTCAACGCCCTTTGAAACAATATACAGTTTTCAATTTTTTTAGTTTTTTTCTATGAAAACAATAAAGTTTTATCTATTGGGCCAAAACTTGTAGGTTTTCATTGGTAGTGGGAGGAACATGTGTGTGTTTGTTTTTGGCAGAATTTTTGATTTGGGCACCAGTAGGTATCTGCCATGCCCGGGTGTGGGATGGAGGTACTTGTTCTCCGAACACCGTGACTTGCCCGAAGAAAAATGCCGCCCATGGCCGAGGTATCGAACCGGCGTCGGTGTGCGTCGTAACAGATGCATTAGTCCTCTCGGCCACTCCGTCCCCCAAGTATTCAATTCTTAGCCATAATAATTTAACATTTTATAAATATTGAACTGCAAAATTGGTACCATAATATGATACCTTTGAGGAACTTTCTATTTAATGTTTAAACTTTTTGACCAAGCAAAAATAAATTTCTAATTTCAAATGTCTTTAAACACCAGTTGAAATTACTGTTTTCAAAAACTATTTTATTTTAACAATACCGGAAAATATGATATTTACTTGGAGGATTTTAAAACTCAGATTGCCTCTAATGTCTCCCTACACAATATTTAGAAACTTCTACAGCTGATGGTTTCAATACAACAGATAATATTAGCGCTCTTTTTCTGTTATGCCTGGAATTAAACATGGATGCGGTCTACAATATTTAAAATCAAACTCGATGACCTTTCTATTGTAAATATTGAAATGATTTGGCATGAAAGATAAATAATAAGTATATAATTGATGGTTTTTAAAATAAAAATCGATACATGGTATGAAACAAACATCTTCTGTTTATTTGTGTATCCTTATATATCTACCTAAATATACATGTGATATGAATTTAATTACCAATGGCTATTCTCTAAGGCTACTGGAACGATTTCAAAAAAAGTTATATCAATATATTCATTGAGACTCAGTGGGTGTTGTAGCTTCTGATTTCAACCCCTATAGGTTATTCTTATTTATAATATAATAATATATATATAATTGCTATACGGCGGCTCACCCTGTGCGTTTAGGCTCACTCATGAAAATGTTATATAGGTATAGAGTTTCCGTTGGTTACGGAAACAAAAAAAAAAATGGTATAAACTAGACTACCATGCGCTGCTATGTGGTATTACTTAACAAAATTATTTAAGTACATTATTTATTGATTGTTCTTCAATTATAAGATAAAAGGCAATGCCCTCGGCCCTCCTTAAGTGTGTAGCTTATAGAACAAAAAACCACTAACCGGTTTCTACAAATGTTTCTGAGATTGTACTGTGACCATCAAAAAAGTTAAGAGATTAAATTATTTAAACCACGTTTGAAAATATAACAAGTATTACATAAAATCCGCTACAGACGAATTAGTTTACAAAGCGAGGCGGTAAACCGATAGATACTAATTTTCCCGTACTAATTTAACCGATATAGAGCAATATTTTATATTTTTTCATTTTTCCACGGGTAAAATGTGGATTATACAGCTAATATATACCTATGTATAAAACTAAAGTTATACTTAAGAAAATGCAATAAATAAAATAATGTTTTTAGCAAATAAATTGTTTTTTATTCATGTTATTTATTAATTATTATATTATTATAATATACTATCTAATCCTGCACAGCGTTGCCCCTGACAAATTAAATAATTCCCATGGACTTACTCCGTCTCAAACTCTGTTAAATGGAAGCTACTGTAATTTTTAACTGGGGTGGTTTTGACTGAATATAAAACACAGACCAAAAATATTATGCTCAATCATAATAACTATCTTATTATCTGTAACTATATACCTATATACAGAGTGCCCAATGCGATCATTGAGATATCTCCTGAGATTGTAAATATATCATAAATCTGTTTTTTTTATTAGACTCACATAGACAAGGAACACATTTATTTTATTTTTTAATTTAATTTAATTTTTTGGTAAAAAAGAAAAAGTTTTTTTTTGTGTTTGAAACAATTGAAGATTACCAATTTATATTTTATAGAGTTTATTTTTCTGAAAATGTTGACTTTTTCATTTATTCATTTTCTCATTTATTTTATGATTTTTAATATTATTTTTAGTTCATAAGTGAAACTGCAAAAAACAGGGTTTTGTCCGGGCGGGGAGTACACCTCTATGGCTAATGGATATATCCTCACGGGACACTCTGTATTTAACTATATAAACAAAAAAATATTAATTTTTCTTGAGCCAACAATGTCTGAGCCCCTATTTAAAATGCAAATTTGCGTTAACATTGAATAAGTTTTAATTAAATTAGTTTAATAACTTATTATCATTTCTGTATAAAATATACAAGAGTAAGCACTTAGCACCTAATTGTTTTTTTACTTTTTATGGATAAATTTCCAAACAGCATTTTAGTAATATCTATGTAACTAATTGTTTTATTTGTAACACTTTGTAAGTTGTCCTGTTGTAATTAATAATGTCAAGCGAAGCTTAGGCCCTTAGCCCCCCCCCCCCCTCAAAAAAAAAAAAAACTAATAAAATAAAATGTATACTATGCTGCTAGAGCCCAATATTTTAGGGCTATTGGCGCCAACTGGCACGTTATAGTGTATGGAAAACCTATTATTTACCTGATTACTATGGTTTTCATTGTGACATACATTGTAGTGATTACCAATTCTCGAAATAGGGTGATACCATTGTCGATGTATACAAATATGATTTTGCGATATTTGTTGGCCTTCGCTCCTGAAGGTATTGCAATTTTTTATTAAGTTTTTAAGTTAAAATCAAAGTTATCTGTTCTCTGTTCATAAATAGGTACGTATAATAAAATTTAAAAAAACGTTTAAAAGTTTTTCTTATAGTTTAATTATGATGAAAATATATATACAAGAATTAATTTTATAAAATAATATTTTTAAATATCATACTTTAAATTATCTTATTTTCTAAAAAGAATCTTTAACAATCTTATTATTTTTTTTTTCATCTTTCGAATAATTTAACTAGTTTTAAAAAAGCTCCCTTATAGATATGTATCTCCTGATCACAATCTCCTTTATTAATTTCTTTATGACCCAGCTGCTTAATCTAAATTAATAAACATTTTATGTTATTTTAATATTATATTAATTGTATGGTTACTTTGTTACCATGGTATCTATATTATTATTACTATTTACATTTTTTGTTTTTTTTTTTTTAAACCCCTTCTTAATTGCAAGGAAAACAAATAAATTTCCACGAGCACACAATAATTTTGTATAGTATATATGTGTTTTAGTTTATTTTATATAGGTATACATACAATTTGTGTACCTATTTATAGTAGGTATGATATGAATAGATTGGCCTACAAGAAAAAAAATCAGTCACCACAAGATGACACTATACATTGACTATAGTTTTTAATTTAAATATTTTGTTTCCATAATAATGTATAAATGTACGACTATTATAGTAGTGTAGAATAAATTCTAAATAGTATAATATTAGTTTATTAAGACAATATTTAAGTTTGCAGCTTATAATTAAATAATCATTTATAAAATATAGGTAGTTAATAAATGCAATAGTTATATTTATTGATTTATTATTGTGAGTATTACCATTAAATATTAGTATAAGTGAATAATAATAATATGATGTTTATATAGGTATTTGGTAAAATTTATCACTTATTAGCTATTAAGGTTTAAATGTTAATAGCTCCATTGATTGTATAAAAATGATGAATATAATATATTTTAGTGGAAATTAATTCGATTTTGCAGTAATTGAGAGAGCTAAAATTACTTTTGAGGAGCTAATTTGATTGTAACATACACTAATTGTATCTATTATCATAGATATCATTAAAACCAATAATTAGTTTTTTAGTAGTCTTAACATAACTACAACTGGTTGAATACAATTTAAATTAATTTAAATGTATTTGTAATTTATTGAAATGATTTTATCTGACACTAAACGGTGCTAGTAATGCACATGCACTTGCATTGATTTAAGTATTTTCCTGTTTATAATTTAATATAATACATATGGATGTATTTATGTAAGTCACTATTTATTTTAACTTAGCATTAAGTGTCACATAATTTTTATGTGCTGACCTTTGAATATATAATATTTACATTGTTATACATTGACACATAGCGCCGTATAATATTATTCCGAAATAACTCTCAAGTCCACGATTATGATTTACTAGTAACAGAATCAGTGTATAATGTATATGTTTAATTTAAGATAATATATATAGATACCTTTATTAAACGCGTGACATATAATAGTGAATTTTATTTTAAGACTTCCGAGTTGTAAATTTACATTGTTCGCAAAACAGTTCCTTTTCAAAATGTCTGCAAAACAAAGATTTATATTTCATTTTCTGCACATTCACGTTGAAAGTAAACATCGTATCAACCAATACATCGCTTTAACGACGCGTGTAGTGGTTGAAGGGCACTAAATTATGTTTATTTTATATTCATTCAGAACGGGATTTCGCTCTTGTGGATTAGGATATTGGGCGTGTTCAGTTTTCTTTGATTTGTCTGAGTATATAAAGAATGGAGAATGTAAAACCAAGCACAGTGAGTCGCCGTTAGAGTTCAATTGTTGTTGTATTCTATAATTTTAATTGTTATTCTTCGTCCACTGTAAACAGTTTGTCGATTATTTGCAAAAAAATGGCAACTTCTATCAAAATTGATAATGGCTTCGCCGTCAAACTTTCATCTCATCAACTGGTATACAATGTTTTATTAATTATTTATATTTGAATTTGTATACAATTGTATTTATAGCCAGGATAATAATATGTGTAGGCTTATTTAGGATTTAAAAATATTTTTAACTTATCCCCTTTTTATAAGCAAATTATTTTAGACAGCCATAATTAAATTGTGTGTTCTTAAACTAAAACATATGTAATTCTATATGTTGTATAAATGTTTGAATAATTAATATATAGGATTGATTATTAAAAAGCTTTTGAAAAAAATTAGGAAAAATTATATTTTATAATTTTTACTGACAGAATGCACAAACACTGAATATAGCAATAATTTTAATAAATATTTACATTAAATTAAAAATGTTATTAGTATTTATCCAATAACTTTCTTATAAGGTTGAAAGTATTATACTTGCAACTTCACAAAACAGTTTTTAGAATTTTATCAAACCAATAATTTCTTAAACTTTTTGTTTTATCTTTGTATAAACCTTTTATCACATACATTATACTAAATATAATTTTTGTTTTAATATTTCTTTATTAAAACTTTATAAGCTTTATAAGCTTTAAATGTTTATCATATATCTTAAATTTTAAATAATTAGTCCAACACCCATAAGTCCGATGCATAAAATATTACAACAATTTAAGAAAAAAAATTGTCCTACATTTTTTAAACAAAAACCTATCATCCTTATATGCCATTGTAATACGAACACATTAAACACTATTTTATTCAGTTGTTTAAGAATAAATACGGCATTTACCATGGACGCAAAAGCGCGCAGCAAAGAAATAATTGAGAAACATGTTTTACTGAAATTCGTTCTGTTTATAAATTTATATATTTGTTTTTTAGTTCCAGAAAAAGATCTATTACAGTAACAACATGGACGAAACAAACCAAGCAAAATTCAGTTACAGCATAGTACCCACTACTGCCAAAGATAAGCATACTGTTGCTGCTTTCCTAAGGAAATTCTTTTTCCGCGATGAACCATTGAACGTAGCGATACAGTTATTGGAAGAAACAGATTCGGCAGCAAAACTTGAAAATTACTGCATTACCTATTTACAATATGGTATATAAATTATAAATACTATGGTCCGATTGAATAATTCATAATTTGTTGGTAGACTTTGTATTGGAACTTAAGTTCGTAAAATAAGAGGATTATTTAAAATAAAATAACAAAACAAGAGATAATAATATGCAATGTTTAGAATCACCCTGTATATACCAGAAACCAATAATTATTACTTATCAAACATAATCGTAACATTTAGTAACACGTGTTTCTTTATAATATGTAACGTTGAATAAATATAAATTAATTTATATTTAGGAATGACATTTATGGCAGTATCTCAAACTGGTGACATAATGGGCGTAATTTTGAACAGCATAATGCATAGAGACGACGTAGAAGAAGACGACGAGGACGGTGAAACATGTAATGACAATTTGAAGTTTAAGGACATCGTGGTTCTCTTGGAAAAAATTAAACGAGAAGCAGACGTATTTGCCCAATATAAAAACGTAAATCGTATATTGGAAATAAAAATTGTTACAGTGAATGAAGCTTATAGAGGCCAAGGAGTATGCAAGGCGCTCGTCGATAAAACAAAGTACGCAAAAAAAAAAACTCGTATTAATAAGCATATAGAATATTTGAGGAATATCCATTCGGTACTATAGGGTTCTTCCTAAACCAAAATGTAAACTATTAAATTGAATACATATTGAACCGACCTAGTTTCAATTTCAATATTTAATAAGTGATCAATATTGCTTATTGATTATTATTTATTACCAATTAAAAATCATATAGGTATTATGTATTAAATTGCACTGCCCATTTGTGGTCCGTTGAAAAGAAATTCCAGTAGAAAATATAAATATACGCATTTATATACAAGCTTTATTAGAGTAATAATTAATATGTATTTAGATTTATAATATTGTAGCAAATATTTATTTTACTGTATGCAATTACAAATAACATTACAGTGGAATTTTAATTTTTAGAGAATATGCACTGGAAATGGGTTGTCAAATGATTTACGTAGAGTGCACCAGTCATTATTCTGCCAAGGCAGTCGAAAGACTTGGTTTTCAATGCATTTATTCGCTGGCCTATAACGATTACGTAAACGAACATGGTGAGATGGTGTTCAAAACACAATCTCCACACAGAGGTGCCAAAGTGTATGTGTTGCCTTTGTAATAATACCTTCCATTCGATTTGAACATCTACACAGTTCGCCCACCTCCTTTACAATAACAATAATAATCATTAGTCGTTACGAGTACCGTATTTTTTGTATATAATTTATGAATTTTTTATAATGTACTAGACTATTATGTTCAACGAAAAATCAAAATTATAAACTATGAGTATATCTATATATATATATATCATGTTATTGTACTTTATTTATAATTGTTGATTTATATAAAAGATATTTTATTGATTTTGCTTTGGTCTACTGTTACATTATTATGAATTTCTTGTTTGAAATGTATAATATGATTATATCTTTACAATTGATATATTTCTATGTTTCATAAAAATAATACCAAGCGAATTATTATTATTATTATTATTATTATTATTTTAATTATATATTTTTTTTTTTTGTTACATGTATTATGATATTGTGTATTTAATAAAAGAAATATTCAAGTTATAATACCTACCTATTAAATAAATATTGAAAATGTTATAATTTTATTAATACATAGTATTAACTGTGTATACACAATAATAATAATTATTATTATTGTTATTATTTAAAAAAACGGTAGGATAAAATAAATTTAAATATATAGGTACAGATAAAAAAACAACCCAAGGAAATCTCTATTGTTTGGAATAATATACTTCATCATTGAGTATCGTAGTTCACTGTAGTCTGTAATGGACGTGTTAATTTTGAAATCAATGATAAATAATTGTAAGTATACTAAAATCGAATCTGAGTGGAGACAGAAGTGCAGAAGTCTCTTTCTTTAATTTTTTTTTCTGAGGAATCAAGCTCTATTTCTATGATATTTATATTACTATCGGTAATATATTTTTCCATCAGTAATATGAGTGGTTCAACAAATGTTTTCCCTAAACATTACATAAATAAATAATTTTTATTTTAGTATTACAAATTTTAGCATAAAAAATATTATTAGTAGTATTATTATTATAAGGAAAATCCGACGTACCTACATACAATTATGTGAATAGGTTCGTAGGAAAAATAGCTTAAAATGAATCTAAATATTTGAAAAAATGTATTATCATGCATAGGAATTAATAATATGCATTTAAATATTATTTCATACATTTAACAAATTAACCAAAAAATTGTTGTTTCTCGTTTAAATATTTAATTTTGTCAAAAGTGGAACTTCAAATGGCTAAAAAAAATATTGTACAAATATATTTTTGATATTTTATGCAGTAGTAATTGTTTTGCTAAAAACTTGATAATAGGCAAAAAAAAATGAAAAAATGTAAGTCCAATACATTAATAAATTTAAATTTAAATAAATATATAATAATATAATATCTTCTTTACATAGCTGTATTAAAAAACGATAGTTTTTTTTGTCTGGAGTAATCTCTGAATCTACTGACTCAATTTCAACAAACTAACATCAAAGGGTTGTGGTATCGATCCCCGATTTAATTATGATTATCTATAGACTATATATAATAATAATATACGATCGACCTAACTCCTGTTCCTGAAAAAAATAAGTTGTAAAATAGGAATACACCCGTGGTGTAATTACTGTTATCTGTCCGGTTTTATCACAACTTTAAAAAAATTAATTGTTTATAATGAGCTGCCTATAATATATTCTTATATACTACTTGACTGTAGAATTCTAATAGTTCTATTATCCACTATTGGTAATAGAACAATTGTCTATTGATTAGTAACTATTTATAATCTATATGATTATTCAGATAATTGTTTATTTGATCATTTCTATTATTTGCGGGTAGACAAAAAAGTTATCAACCATGTCAAAGAATCTATCAGTAACATTTTAGCAATGTTTGTAAATTTCCGTCACTGAAGATTTACAAATTAAAATTTTTTTTATTATTATATCATGATTAAAAGGCAGTCCTTGGATCTATCGGTCATAATACGTAAGTATACGTAACATTCAGTGGCATACTCAGGGGGTGGGGCTAACGGCCTGAAGCCCCGATATCCCCCATTTGTCCGTATTATTATTAATTTAAAAAAATATATTTATAAAGTATCAACCGTCAACTAGTAAGCAAGAAGTAGTACGTACATTTCATGTACGTTTTACCAGAACGTATATATAAATTTAAAGTATATGAAATTGTATACCAATTGCATACCAATTTTCCTAAGATTATCAGTAATTTTTTACTAAAAGTATGAACTACATGTATGAAATACCTTGTATTCAATTTCCTAGCCTTAGCTATACAAATTTAATATTTTATAAGTTTTGAACTACAAATTAACTATGGTTTTGTCAACATTTGAAAAAAAAATAACCATGCCTATGTATCATCAATATTTTAGCTATAATAAAAACTTACCTATGTAGACATTTATAGAAAAAAAAACTTAAATTAAGTATTCCAAGTGAAGATGGTCTAAATAAGGTTACCAAACAATTTCAACAACTTTTCATTGTTTTTCTCCAATTATTTTAAAAAGTACCGAGAATTTTTAATTTTGCCCTCCTAAAAGATCCAATTTGCTTTCAAAAACACCCATCGGGCATCAAAGTTTATGATCAGAGCAGAAACATTTTAAAACACCTCAAATAAACGTCTGAAATTATTAGACTGTACAAAATCAAAATCAAAATTTTTATTCATCATTTTACAATGTAACACAACTTAAATGTATGTCAGTAAATTTTATAATTTAAAACTTATTATTAACCCTAATTTTGTTATTATTTTTATTGATTGACAATGTAAAATAATACATTAATTAATTGTGTATGTTAAATGACAACAAATAAATAGCACCATTGTTTATCTTGTAGTGTTCTCATACAGTCATACAAATCGATGTGCCGCACCATTTTTTATTTATTTGGTGATTCGAGAGTGAAAAATGCGTGAAAATGATGTCACACCTCGATTCATATGAGAATTTTGCAAAAAATCTAACTTGCCCATTTATTTTCACATTTAAGATAATGTTCAACAAATAATTTGTATAAACCCAGATTTTGAAGATTTTGAAAAATTTCAAAAAAATCTTCATTGGATTCATTTGGACCATCACACTGGATACGCCTCATCCGTTTCCGAAACACCCTGTATAAAACGAATAATAAATGTATTGGCGTTAGTCGACTAACCTAATCATACTGTTATTTGTTAAATGTATAAAATTAAACCTACTTTGATCCTTTGGTATTGGTTAAATAAGATAACAATTATAACATTATTCAATATTATACAATTATTTATCAAACTAATGAAAAAAAAAACTATTTACACTATATTGATCATTAAATTTAAATTATGGTCGCGTATTATAAAGCCAATACGTATTCGGCCATATCGTACTAATCTGAGTTGGCGATGGTGAGGAAATTTTCACATAGCTAAAATATCATATATTCGGGGTTGGTTTTTTCTATAAAAATAAATGATTTTAGACTTTCCGTCATAACTGTAATAATCAGAGTATGCTTATTGCTAAATACTATGTATATAATATCTAGTGCTGGTAGCCTTGGAATTTTGGATGCTCATATTTCAAATTTCTGATCGTAGAATAACCCATAAATACGACGTGTTTCTGTGGTTGAATGTCACATAATAAAAATAGGCCCAGCAGCTTAAATTTTAATGCCGCAATGATTAAAGAATCCATGAGTTCGAAAAATGTCTATACGCAATGTCAGCGAAATGTAATAACACAAAAAACTCATTGCTAATAGTTGATGTTAATTAAAAATGTGGTGAAAAAATATCTCAGCAAATAATTATTATGATACAGTACCTACATAATAATTATTTTCGGAGATATCTTTTCACCACATTTTTAATTAACAACAACTATTGGCAATGAGTTTTTTAAGAGAGACCTAAGATAGTACCTAAGATATATGCGTAGTTGTACATATCTATAAATATGATGACGATTAGTTAGAGCATAATTTTTGTTGATTGGCTTTTACTTCGAAAACTCGAAAACTTTGTTGATTTGTAGGTATTTTTAAACTTTTTAGAATTTCAATTTTAATTATTTTTGTATTAATATGATTACAATATATCATGATGAACTTGCACACTCCGTGGTAATGCGTATAACACCGTCACACCGATACAAATATGTTTGTATTTCTTTTTAACGTCTATAAAATGTTTATGATTCTTTGACTTTTTATCACCATACATTTGTAAATTGTAACTATATCATATTTATATTAAATGCATTTTAAAACAACAGTATAACATTAGGTGACTTGGAATAATTGCAATGCATAAAATGTAAATCGTTATGCATTTACCCAACGTATTCGTTAATATATTCAATGCATTTTAAACTAGTCAATTATTTATACGAACTGTAAATATTTACGGACCACTAAAGTGTTTATATTAATAATGCTATTCGATCGTTTTGGCTGCAGCGAAATTGCATTAATTTAAACACTCGCACTGTATTAAAGTTGTCTCAGGTAGGCAGGTAGCACACCTAGCTCCCGCATATATTTTACTGGTTTCTAATAATATTTATTTCCATTCTAATTGAGTAAATTTATAATACTCACAAGTACCCTACCTACCTAATACCTATAGGTGTGTTAAAATCGAAATGTTTTACATTGTTATTTGTAACAGAATTTCATTTTTTTTATGATATGGATTATATATATATTATATATTTCCACCTAATAACCTTGGACTGTCTGTGTATCAAATGTATTTCATATAAACATTCATTACTATAATATGAGATAGATGAAAATTAATTCGTTGGTGTTATCTTTATTTCCGTACATATTATTGTGCGTCATGAAATCTTGTAGAATGCCACATAAATGTTTAATACATATTCAAATACGATAACGTTTTTGTTGAATTTACAAAATATATTTAATTAATCTACAATAGGTAGTTTAAAAGTGTTTCACGGTACAGTATATTCGGTATTTCAGTGTAATGTGTTTATGTTTGAATAGTTAAGGATATGTATGTGGTACGAGAAGGAAAATAAAACCGTTTCAGCAACAATAAGGTAGGTAGGTATTAAACGATAAGTAAATCATAAAATACTGTAGGTACTACTATGTACTTACGTATGCGTTTATTGTTATATAGATACACAAATCAAATGAACTATAAAATCCCCATGTTGTGAATTTTATTATAATATGTATTTTTAATATTATTATGAAAATTTTAATTTCCTGTTTTCAAAAAAATTACTAAAACTTCCTCTTTTTCGATTATAATACTTATAGAATTAAACAAAATTATAATATGATATAACTTCACATATTATTTATAAATACTGTACTAAATTTTAAAGATATATAGTTCCAAAGTCTATAACCATTAACCATACAAATCATACAATAATTATACAAATAATTAAGAAGGTATGCTATTAGTTATTTTGAAGGAATATTACTGGCACCCATGTTTATTATACGGTCAGATCACATATAGATAATGGTAAATGAATAAATATATTATGATAGCATAAACTTAGGTATTGCATGTATAATACAGTAATCGGGTAATCCCTATAATTATTGACAATTGTGATAAATTTTAATTTTGAAAACATTTCAATGAGCCTGAAGTGTCCTCAAAGCGGTTTGGACAATCGGACGGCGAAAGCATAATCGGAAACTCATTTAAGCCTGACCAGGTGTAGTGGTTACCTCCACTGCGGAAAATAGTGAGAATTGTTTTAATTGTTTTAGGTATCTTACATAAAATAATAATTATTCGTATTTCAACTAGAATTAAAATAGCAAGCACTATGTAATATACATAATTCATATTATAACACCTACATAATATTACATAATATGTATGTCATAGGTACCTACATGGCTACATAGGTCTATATTATATATATAATATATATTATGCGTGGTTGGGTGAAAAATGATATTTTCACACAAACCGGAAATGCCTGTACAATGTACATATTATATTTGTAATCGCCATACGGTGAATAATTTCTCCAGAATTCATGAGATATTATATAATTATTATACTTATTAGAGTGTACCTACTCAATCTATGCTCTGTCCAGCGAGAGAGCACACACCGAATCTGCGCATTCCCTCGCGACACCCTGCCACAGAGACCGGTTTCACTATGACAGAGTGTCACGCGTGGGGATGTGCAGAAGGACCGATTTTCGTTGTATTCTCTCGCAAGACCGAGTATACTCTACAGTGATTAAAGAGAGTCAACGGTAACAAAGCTATTCTTCGCAAAATGGATGTGTTGACCACTATTGAGGTCAATATTAAATATATGTATAATAAGTAGGAGCTGTATATTAATTTAATTTTTGATACATAAAGATGGATGGACACTGCAGGTAAATAATATATATTACCTATATTAATTTAGTTGATTTTTTTGTTTATAATAATTTGGTTATAAAATAGGTACTACATTTAGGTATAATTTATTTCAAATAATTGTAATAAATATTGTACTAATATTACTAGTATATAAGCATTTGTTTTACATTTAACGAGCGTATAAATAAGGTAAACATAAAACTGAAATTATAAATCGTTTGTTTTCGTAATATTTATTGCATTGTGGGTAGATATGAATAATTAAATTCTCTGATAGTCCGATGTATAGGTAGTATAGCATAATAGTAGTATAGTACAATACATAACTATTTAAGGCAACGAAAATTAGAAGTGTGGTGAACAGCTGTAGCTAAACATATACGAATTCACGAAAAGCAATGAACTAGAAAGGTGTACACTTTATTTGAGAGTAGTTGTACACCTGTGTCTGACAATATTTACGTTCATTAATTATCTTATATTGGAGTGTATTATTTAAACACATTCTTTATTTCTTTAGAACACGGGTAATATAAAATGAGTACCTACCTAATTAGATCGATCGTGTTTTGTTGATGATAATTTGTTTTAATTTAATAGTTCATAGTTTAATTTCCACCATCCGCATTAACATTGTTTGGTGATTATTATAGGTATGTGGTTATTATAATATGAATTATACCTTCATTAAATTGGTAAATTATTGTTTTTGTAATTAGTAATTTGTTTCGCTTCCTAGTAAAATGATGATTGTATAAAACACATTTCATTATAACAATATTTTTATAATAGCAGAAAAAAAATTATTATTGATATTTTTAGGAACAAAAAACAATTTAACAAATGTAACAAAAAAAAAACAAAAATATTTCTGTTTTAATTACCTACCAACCTATCTATTCTTTATTTTAAATCGTTTTCTAAACCATCAAAATATAAAAGAATAGTTATATGAATTAAAATTAATAAAAACAATTAAATAAGTTCGTAATAACTTTATTTTGAAAACATTTTGTATCATAGATTCAATATAATGAATAAAGTATTTTAAATTATGTACTTTCAACTATTGAGAAATAATAAGGAAAAAACATTCTAGGATTATAAGATAAAAGTTTTTCAATAAAATATTCTAATTCCTATTGTTTAAAATATAATGAAATCAAAATACATTACATAATATACTGTATTATGTAATTGTGTTTTTATGCTACTTAATTTTGATATATTAAAATATCGAGGATACAAAAAATGAGTAATTAACATTTAATGAAATATATGTTTTTAATTTATAATATAATAATCTATTACATTTTATCTGCATACAATATTACTTATTAGTTATTAGGTACCTATATATTTCAACACAAAACTATTTATTTATCATTTCGATTATTGGTTTGACTATAATTCTACCAATGTACAAGTTATAGTTAATTTTCTATTAACAAATAAACATGCGAGTACCTATAATATCTTGAATTCTTGAATGTAATCAAAAGCATAAGGAAACAAAGTAGAAAGATAAACAAAGATAAACAATAAATATCTGTAAAATTAAATTAAATTGTAGAAATTATGGGTAGGTTCATTTTACAGCTTATTAATAGGTATCATAAAAACAATTATTATAATCACGAAAAATACAAAAAGGATAACATTATAGCTTTTAAGTCTATTCCTATGTTGCCTGTTTTATCTTTTCTTACCTATATGGTAAATGGAGTCTTATTCTTTGTATATATAATATTTATATATACAAAAAAAAAATGTCTAATGTAAACTCATATAACTCATAAGTATCAATTTTCATACTAATGTGAATTGAACAAGAAGTTACAAGGTGATAAAATTGATTTTATGATTATAATATAAATAGAGTGACTCACCAAGAATGCTCAACCTCATTTTTTCCTTTAATAATGAATTTTGGAATTTTAAGTATACTCACAGCCCATATTTTAAAATAAATTTTTTTAGTACTACTTAGGGAGTATCCTGTGGTGATAAAAACTTCTGTTTTTCAAATGAAAACTCCCCCTTTTTTACTGTAAATTATTTAATGAATAGATTTTTTGAAAATGTTAATGTACCTAATTCAAAATTTGAATGATTAGTGCCTCAGATATTTAAGTGTTTGTATTAAGGATAATAGCCCTTAAAAATGGTTTTACATGTATATAAAATTAACATAAAATTGGATCTAGTATTTATTATACGTCTTGGGCCATTTTTACAAATTATGAATATCGATAGACTAATATTAACGACTACAATTTTAAAATCTCCATTATAGCCCCCATATGTTATAAAGTATAAACTCATTGCTATAGACCTTTTGTCCTTAGAACACAGAGTTAAATAACTAAAAACTACTTATACGAATTTTGATTTTGATACTTCAAAAATTTCAGAAAAATTATCTACTGTCGAATAGGGGTGCCCTCATTTGAAAAAAAACACAGAAGTTTGTATCTCCACAGGACACTTTTTAAGTAGAACAAAAAATGTTCAAGAATTTGAAAATATGGTCTTAAAGTATAATAAAAAAATTCAAAAAATCAGATTTTGAATAACTGCATTATTGAAGAAAAAAGGGGTGAATCACCCTCTATATAGTATATTTAAATATATAATACATATATATATTATGTACTCACAATTTATTAATACAAACTATTTATTATTATTATTATTATTATAATTATAAAAAAAAAATTATAGATAGAAATTCATAAATCAGCAAAATGAATGCAGCTATGACATCTGAATATGCTTTTAAAGTTGTTCCTATCATTACAAAAGATGAAATTACCGTGATTGAGTTTTTGCTACAATATTTTATCCGTGATGAACCGCTGAATGCATCTGTGGAGTTAATAAAAGAGAAAGACATCGCTAAGAATTTTAAAAATTACATAATTGGATTATTCGATAATGGTGAGTGAAATAAAGTAGTTTTGAACAAATAAACAGAATAATATATTAATAAGTAGTAGTACTCGTAATAACAATAAGTACTTATAAGTCATAATAATTCTAAATTGTAAATTTTACTACGTTTATAATTCATTAAATAATAAAAATAATCATTAGATATAAGTGTTAATAACATATTACATGCTTATAAATTATAATATAAGTTATAAATAAACACACCAATTGTTGAACATTTTTAAATTAGTTAATAATACTTAAAATTGATAGTTGAATTTGGTTGCACTATTTTATAAATTGATTTTTAAGAGGCCGCTACACCAACATCTGCTGCTTACAACTTACGAATGCGTAACATAGCAAATTTACTCTCAGCAGTTCACGTTTAGCTTCTAGTTTAAAAATTAGAGTGGATCGATTAATTATGAAATTGAATGGCAAGAACATTATCAGTGTTCATATGTCGGTTTTTACGATTCTTCAATTTTTTACTGTTTTGCTTTTGAGTATATAAAATAATGCAATTTAAAAATGCTCATAACTCGCTTAAAGACTGAATTGTCCTAAAAAACCGATATAGGTACGAACACACAGATTTTCTTCCAATTAAGTTTCATAATAGGTTGTTATACTTATATTATATACACCTATAATTTTTAAGCTAAATGTGAACTGCTAAACGTAAATTTATCATGTTATACATACTCGTAATACGGAGACAACAATTGCGGGTGTGGCGTCCTCTTAACAACATTCTAAAAACTAATATAGATAGGTACAATTGGAAAGTTATAATATTCTTCAGATAATAATCAATCATCAGATCTCAATAATTGCAAGTTTCAATCATCAAATTAAAATATGTTGCATAGTTATGTACTTATGTAGGTATAAATTATTTTAACAAGCAACGGGATGATAACATATAGTTAGTGTTAATTGTTAAACATAATATTATACATTATTAAAAGTGGTTTTTATATTTATTGGATTAAGTACCTAGTAGGTACTAATGCTGGGTTGCATAAACAACCACTAAATATCTAATGAATCAATATTCAATAGTTTTGCTTTGCTTTGTTTAGGTTTACTCTGTATCAAGCTTGCACTTCTTGCAGAGAGATTCAAGTTTAATGAAGTAATTGTACTGTTAGTTGTAGATGTTTATTTTCTTTTGATTTGGTACGTTCAGCGTAGCTGATTTTTGGTTGAGTGAAGGAAGGAGTAGCTGAGTTTACCTGGTTTGTTTGCATTTTTGTTGACTGCTTCCCTTCCGAGGACTATTCTTGGATCTTTGGTTTGAGAGGACGTCTCTTTTCGGTTTCTTGGGTGATAGCTGGACATTTTTTGTAGTTTGCTATGTGGTCTCCTTCGCAATTCGTAGCATTGAAGTTTTATGGAGTCTGGACCAAATGCTTTAGCTTCTATTGAGTCTTCTGGTATGATAATCATAAGTTTTCCCGCCACTTTTCTCCAAGCTGAGCCTTTAAGAATGATAGGTGGGATTTTTGGATTGTTTTTTGGTGGCTGAGGAATAGTGGAGTGGATGGAATTGTTATTGCTAGAGTTATCTGACATTGATTCATTAATATTGGCTTGAGTTTTATTTAACATATGGTTTTTATCTGAAGTAGTTGTTGAATTTTTCTGCATGGTTTTCGCAGCTTGATGAAGGTTAGGTCTGACAGGTCTGGAGTGAGAGAGCGAGAGACTAATAGTGATCTAATGGTTACTTAAATATAATATTAAGATTGGAATTAAATTTAGATTTATGATTGGTGCATTACATAATAGTTATCATTATAAAACATATTATGATCATTGATTGTGAATACTAATCAATGACATTATTAATCAATATTTTTATTAAAATCGGGCATTCGGCATCAAGTGTCTCTGATGCAGTGCTGCAGTGTACTTAAAGATTTTTTAAATCAAGTTTTACAAAAATCATGAAAAATATACAAATTAATGCAATTTATAGCCCGATGGCAATTACAATTTATAACTATTAAATAGGTAGGGGTTTTTAAGGTGGATTTTTGGTTTATAGCGTTAATGCTATATAATCGTGTAAATTCAAGGTTATAAAGTAACAGTAGGTTATAACTTGTGGGTAATAATAAGTACCTATATATACTGAACATTTCACATTTGATTACCAAAATACTGTCAAACTTTTTACGTAATTTCACACAAATTGACACTAATCTAACTGTACAAATTATATCAAATTATTTCCACTAAAATGGACTGAAATTTATTCAGAGTACCAATTACCATTATTCTAATCTCGAATTGAATATAACATTTTGAAGATTTTAAGTATTTTTCACAACAGCATTTAGGTTAAAGTTAAAGGAAACTAAAAAGGTTAATAAAAATAGCAACTTATAAAGCCATCTAGAGTGGAAAAGCCTTTTCTATAAATTCATATCAGAATAATATAATTTTATTTTCTGATATTTGCTATCGATTAAACGTTACTTACCTATTTCTAAATTCATTAACTATCATTCATAACAATATTTTGTAATAATTGTTTGAAGTATTATCCTAAAATTGATAATCGTATCATTAATTTGGTTACAATTTTATTATAATCCACGGTTATTAGTTTTTGAATTACCTACACCGAAAAAATAAAATCGATTTTGTCAAAAATTTTAAAATTTTCATGTTTATTGTTAATTTTTTTTTTTTGTTATTCCCGATGCTTTTGAATATTACTGTACATTTTTTACTTTTTACGCCCCAAGGCATTGGTGTATCAAGAATTTTTTTTCGGGAGGGGTTATTATTAATTTTTAACGAATTTTATCTGAAAATAATTTATTAATGATAACGTAGTTATTGTTTAACATTTTTTGGAGGGTTAGATGGTTTAAACTCCCCTGGAACGATACTGCCCCAAAGTACTAACTAGATTCATTTCTTTACCAGAAAAAATGTTGAAGTAGAGAATTGGAGCAATTTTACTGCTCCAAAAGTTAATGAGGGACAGAAAAATAAAAAACTAAAATACACACATTATTGTAATATCAATACATTCTTTTGCTCCGATCAGAATCATAAAATAGTAACTCTTAAATCTTAATAATGCAAATAAATTTCAAAAAGTAAAAAATAAATTCTCTATAGTTAATATAAAATTCAATAACATAAGCAGATATTATGTCGTCGATTGTATATTATGAGTATGTCGTATATTTTAATATTTCTATAGAGTATAGGTATTAGATATAATATGTTATTGTTACTGTATATTTCATAGTAGAAATGTGTAGCATTTTCAAAATTGTGTGCTTATGTACCTAAATTTACTGTAGTTGAATAATAATTTACAAAACAACCTAAGTGCCATGTTATATGAAATGAGTCTATTAAAGTAGGTAAGTAACTCCATTAAAAACTAAATATTCCAGTACAATTATCAAAGTACCCATTAATTAAGTGCAATTTCGTGTATTTCTGTGAAAATATTAATGAACGCTTTTATATTTTGATAAAATTTATTACTACGGTCGAGAATAGAAATAAAATTAAGGATATTGAGATATAATCAATTGTGAACAAGGTCGTGTTGAAACGATGATAGAGACGCCCTTATTTGTCGCTATGGAGACCCCGAAAATCAAAAATCCTCGAGTCAAGTAAAGTTCTAATGCCGTAGTTTCACGCCACAGATCAACGAATTACGATCATCAAATTAAACGTATAAAATTCTTATTAATAGATCAACGCCGAATAATTAGATTAAGGTAGGTAATAATGTTTTGTTGGTAATAAAATTATTATATATTTACCTATACATAAAAAAAACAATAATGCATATTATAATAATATTTATATAAAAAAATAGAATTACATTCAGTAGGTAATGAATTAAATAGACTTTATTTTCTTTTTATGAGTTCAAGTTTATTTTTAAAAAATTATAATTTATACGAATTTTTAAGATTTCAAAGTTTTTAAAATAAACATAATTATGGTTTATACTGCTTCATGTTGCTATTATTTCCTTATAAATCGTAAATTGTGATTGGGTGTGGCCAAAATAAATTATGTTACATTTTTCAAAACACTATAGGTAGACATTTTAAAATACTGTCATAATTATTTTTTTATTAATATAATGTCTGTACTCTATAATCTATATCATCATTAAAGTGGTAAAGTAATTATTAGTGAAACATACTCACATAAATCATAATTATTCCAAATTAATACTTTTGTAATATATTTTTTAATTAATACCTTTAATTTCAATTCGTAAGTCAAAAGTGCATAACACATACACATGATTTTTAAAATTGATAAATAAAAAATGCAGTTATGTTATATTGTAAAATAGCAAAAAAAGTTAGTCACCAAAAATTAAAAATGCTATAGTAGCTAATAACAATAATTATTTTAAAATCCTAAGCATTTCAATAATCTGTAATCTGTGTTATAGTTCAAAAATCATTATTGCATTATTACATTTCATAATGTGATTGCAATAACTTTATCATTATATATAGGTACTAAACAATAATGAATTAAAAAATGTAAAAATATTAAGTTTTCAGAATATTAAAATATTCAAAATCTTAGAAAAATGAGTGAGGTCATCAAATGCATCCACAATATTGTCCCAACTACTGCTGAAGATAAACAAGTTGTCATTGAATTTTTAAGGAAATTTTTCTTCCGAGATGAACCTCTTATTTTGGGTATAAATATGCTGGAAGATGTTGATTCTTTAGCAAAACTCGAAAACTACTGTTTTAATTTTGTGGACAACGGTGAGCTCAAATATAAAATTACAAAATATAATGCATCTTCATGTTTCTACATTTTTTTTTTTGACTGAAGTAAAAAATAATATACATAATATAAAGGAGATACCTAAATTATATTGTATAAATAATATTATTTTTTTTATTCAATAGGTACTGCTTTCATACAATATAATAACAAAATATTTTTTTTTAATAAATCAATAGGGCTGAGTGTTACCGAGTTAAAAATTTAAAAGATTCAAAATTAGGTAACTCAACAACCTAATTATTCTTTTATTTTAAGAAAAAAACATTTTCCTCTTAGTTAAAGAAGTTATCAATTATTTAGAACATATTATTTTTCAAACGTCAAATTAATCACATCAATTAAAATAGATTTCCAATAAATATGTAAGGCTCCTTAAAGAGAATACGACACCCACATGTGTTCTCTCCATCTTATACAAGTATAGTACTAAGTATGAAATTCGTGTTCAGCCGTTCCAATTTTGTGTAATACCTAACCTTAATAGAGAATTAGTACTAAACTTAAGAAGACGTCGTACCCGCATGTGTTTTCTCCGTCTTACACGACGACTTGACAAATTTTCGACTCATAACTCACTTAAAAATTAAAATATCGTAAAAAACAAAGAGATACCACAGATAATGTTGTTACTTAAAAGTTTCATGATAGGTCAATTCACTCTAATATCAAAACTGACGGCACCCTATTGAAACTAGCGAACGAAAATTTGCTATGTCGTACGTGTGTAAGACGGAGACAACATATGCGGGTATGAAGTCCTCTTGAAGTTAAGAGGTTATTTGTGCTTTCTCGAAGGTTCCTTATGAATTATGATACTTTAATTTCCAATCAAGTTATGAGTATGTAAAATATTACAATTTATTAAAAATTATCATAACTGGCTGGATTATTAAAATATCGTATAAAAACATGAAAAAACACGGATTTACGACTGAACATTTATGTTTAATAATAGGGCAATTCACTATATTATTAAAGCTTACTTATATATACAATTGGCACTGCTGAAAACAAATTTGCTATGTTGTACTTTCGTAAGACGAAGAGAACACGTGCGGGTGCCACACCTAAACAGAATTAAGTATTGAGTGATTATTATTGTGGCCATTGGGCATATTATAAAGATATATTATATTTCATTGAAAATGTTGTAATTAAATATTAAATTAATTTAACTGTTTTCGTTATTATATAATAAGTGATAGGTACTGTGATAACATTAATTTAACAAAAAAAATAATTATCAGAGGTAATTTTATCATTATTTATCAACCTATGCAAATACCAATATTTGTTGTAAATAAAAAAAAATGTTTAGGGCCAATAATAATAATATTTTTGGATATATTTACATTTGCATGTTATACAGTAAATATTGTTGTATTTATGTTACCTACTATTAAGAAACTAACCAAACCTATATAGAATACACCTAGTACTTAAGTCTTAAATTTAAACAACAATAAATTACAAAAGGTCTAAAGTAAAAAAAATCAAGCTACCATGTATTATTAGAGCAGAGGACTTTTAACATTTACATATTTGTTTTACGCAATCGTAAAAAATTGCCAGCTAAAAACCAATTTATTTATACAACAAAACCAAGTCTTTATTTAATGTAATATATTTAGGTATTTTTGTTTATTAAGACATTTTTAAGTTTATTTTTACTTTTTTAAACATATTTCTTTTTTTTTTTTGAACTATTTTTGCATGTTTTTGTTTACATAATATAAACATTATAAAACCGATAGTCATTTCTTATATTTGATTTTTTTAAGCTTTAACACATTACCGCTGTGATGAGGGGTTGAATGAGTGTTTGAACATTTTGCAACGAATTAAGTCTTGTCCGTGATTATTTAATGTCATTATAATTTAAGATTTTATTTATTTTTAATATTTATTGATCAAACCATTAGACAACAATCTTTTAGTGCTTATTTTGGGTTTAAGTAGATGAGTGCTCACTGCTCGCATATTTTGTTTTTTTCTACTTATCCTCTTGACCTCTTCCCTAGTAATAAGTAATAACTACCTAAGTAGTTGAGCGTGGAATTGTATGCAGCATTTGCATATTTATTCTAGTTGATCGTATGATATACTAAGTGAGCACAACATTTGTTTTATGACATATAACGATTTAAAAAATGATTCTTTTTTAGTATATATTTTTGCATATTTCATTTTTTTGTGCATATTTCGATGTTTTTTTTTGTTCTTTTGGACATTTTTGAAATATATACTATTACAGTATGAAAAAAAAATATTATATTTGTATAGTTTCAATTAATATCAAAATAAATTAATAGGTGTACTTGTAAGTATATAAATGGTTTTTCCAAATATTTTTCATATTAATTGATTCCTCTTTTTTCTTAAAAATTAAAACTACCTATTAAATGATGAAAATAAAGAAAAAAATGAAGAAAATTATTTATAGTAGTTACCCTATGGCCTATAGGGTTCCATAATTTTAAATATATTGTTTTAAATGTTCAATTAACACATTTTTTTTTTAAATGTTTGCAATTTGATTGGTTTTTAAATCCGTGCTTTACAGTAATCAGTTAATAATAAGTTATTAATAATAAATTGTTTAAAATAAAATATTTAATATTATGTTGATTTACATTTACATGATTTACTTTATTTTGAAATTCAGGTTTGGCGTTTAAAGCCGTATCTCCTGATGGAGATTTAATAGGGGTCGTCCTAAATAATCTGACGTGCAGAGTAGACAGTGAAAAAAATAACGACACAGAAGAAGACACAAAAGATAACACCAAGTTTAATGTTATTACGGCATTTTTGGATAAAGTCGAGCGAGAAGCAGATGTGTTTAAAAAATATCCAAACGTAGATCGTGTAATGGACATAAAAATAATTTCTGTTGATGAATCATTTAGAGGCCAAGGAGTATGCAAAGCTCTAATTGATAAGACAATGTAAGCTTATTAATATTTATCTCATTATAATAGGTATATGGTATTACCACAGAATAGATTAAATCTATTTAACACATTCTGTGGTGTTACCACGGTTATCTATTACTATTACAATATAACCGTTGACATTAGTACAGTTATTAACATTTTATTTTTATTTTATCGAATAAAAATATTAACAATTTTAATACATATGGGTTCATTATTGTCTTAAATAGTAGCTTTTACTGATATTTACTTTATTATGTTTAATGTTGTTTGAATGACCCGATGCACAATTTCAATAGAAAAACTGGGTGTGCTGAAGTTCAATTTTTTGAATAAGTCTTATCATAAGCATGGATTACACAATAAACAACTTTGCTGTCCCCACAATAATCACATATACTTAACAATGGCTTTGTACATCATAAATACATTAATTATTATAAAGTGAGAACCAATTAACCATAAATATTGAATGGCATAAAGAATGAGGGTTCTGATGTCAAGAATTAGGGTGCTAAACTCCACTTTGCGTTAATGCGAATAACCCCACGACCGCATGACCTATATATTTTATTTATTTTGCAATGGAAATTATCAACATTAATTATAATGGTTATAAAATTATAACTTAAAACTTATAAGCGTATCAACAAATAATAACTGCATTCTTAAAAATCCTTAATCATTTAATTATTTAAAACGAGCTGTAATAAAATTCAAAATAATACAGGATGTGACATTGAAAAATATATGCGGCATAAACGTATGACAAAAGTTCTCACAATTATATTATGGTTAAGAAATAATTTAAAAAATATAAGTACCTACTGATGTCAAGAAATACCCAAAAATAATAATAATACCTACGTTCTAAATTAATTTACAAAAAAAAATATAAACTACTCGGCTTAGATAAATGTTTTTACCAATGTTTTTTTTTGTTCTTATAATCAGATTTACAAATTGGCTAATTTGAATTTTTCCAAAAAAATTCTAATTTTTAGTATAAAAAAATAAAAATATATTTTTTTAATATTATACGTGTAGCGCAAGTGACTATAAATTATATATACCAATTTTTTTTAAATATTTATCAGAAAAAAAGTTATTTTTCAGGTTTTCCTGTTACACTCTGTATAATAATATAGGAACCATTTTTAAAATTAAGCAGAAAAAAGTTGCAAATCATTTTTTAAAATGGTATTTTGTCACAATATAAATTTAACTTAAAATGTCAAACTAGAAAGTATACAACCTGCAGTAATATGGTGTGTATAAAGACATGTCCGAGCATTAATGACGTTTATATATACTTTATTTCAGCTCATTTAATAACATTTTATTTATATTATACATTTATACCTATTTATTATATAGTTTACAGCAGACTATCTATAATATATTATGATATATAAAAATGGATGTTGGTATATCTCATTATATGTACCTAATTAATAGACTCCTTTAGACTTGGATGGTGTTTATAGCTTATTTTTGCAACCCTTATAGGATAACTCACACTAGTATTATGGAAAAGAAATTTTTTGGCTTATTGATTGCTGTTAGTCACATATTATATAACTTTTATAATTATTAGATATATGGCATAGGTATACATTTTTATTCAAATATATTTATAAAAAAAGACAAATTACTGACACGGGCAATGCCGGCGGAACAGCTATAGTATTATAATTTATATTATAAATTATAAAATATACTAGGGTTTTCTTTATTACATCAATATTGATGTATAATATCTAGATATAAGTATCATTGTATATTATATACTTTTCAGAGAGTTAGCGTTGGAAAATGAATGTCCAATGGTTTATGTGGAGTGCAGCAGTTATTTTTCGGCTAAAGCAGCAGAGAGGCTTGGTTTCGAGTGCATATATACCTTGTATTTTCGAGACTATTTGGATGAAAATGGTGAAGTCGTTTTTAAAACTCCTCCTCCTCACGATTCTTCAAAGGTATTCGTATTACATTTATAAGAATAATATCACAGAAAATTCACACATAGATAAACATATTCAGTTGTATCCCAATAAACAATAAATGGTATAAAATACCTAGTTGAAGCTTTTCATGTATACTTTCTATTATTTGAAAAAAAAATGATGTAAAATAATCCTTTATGGTATATCGCTGTATGCTTAAAACCAAAATATTAATCTATATAATGTTTTATTTTATAGGATTTATGAGACTATTATTACAATCATTATTGTATTGTTTATATATATAACCTATATTCTTTGTTTAATTATAATATATTATGTGTACTAAATAGAATGTTTAACTTTTAGTATAATATATAAGCTCTTATTATATAGTACATATAATAAATATAGATAAGTCTATACAATATCATATTATAAACCTTTTCATACCTTAATATGTTTAAAATACTTATACGTTTTATCCTCCCTGAATCGACTAAATCCTAATCCCTTTGAATAATTTTAAATACACTAGGTACTTCTATAGATACATGTATTGTATATTATAAAACATAAATAAATGAAAATCATATTACTGCTTGTATAAAAATGTGTATACCTGTAACCTATTCTATATAATCAAAATACTATCTTAATACAAACTGTGTTGTATGAACTATTTATTTTTTTAACGTATTTTCAAGCGTTTATGCATAGTAATATTTCAATAGATTGGGTGGAGCTTTTTTAATAGAATACATAAGCACAGTGGCGTATCCAGGGAGTTGTTAGTAACTCTCCTCCCCCACTACAAAAAAGAAAATTCTGGATACGCCACTGCATAGTCTTGTTTATGTGTACCTATATAACCATACGCCCTTACTTGCAAAATCAGCTTCTCAAAGAACTTTGAGTTAATGTTAGTATAACATAAATAATATAAATACCACGCTACTCGCTAGTAAAAATAGTAAAATATTTATCACGTAGCGTCGACGAGTCAAATTTTTTGGATTCTGATTTCATACCTATGGCCCTATGCATCGTATCGCCTACATTTATATGTCGTTGGACAAGATTTTACTACACTATCATATCCTTAAAAAAAGACTTCAAGAATCAGCATACATTTAAGTGATTTTTTTAAAGAGAGACATTATACATGTACGAATATATACAATGTATAGCCGTATAGGCAACAATTTCTAAAATAATATTTTAGGTTTTTTTACGGGGGCTGACTCCATATTAATATGTTATCGAACAACAAACATGCCATTTTTGTTGGCCACATCTATGAATACATTCTAGACAAGCCTATATCGTTGTACCTAGTCCAAAAGTCAAAACCAGTAATTTAGAATTAAATAAATATCAACACTTTAAATTTAATCAACATCAACACTCTTCGCGTTCCCTCCAATTAAAAAAGTGTCAAACTTGAAAATCTCAACATCATAAATGGTTCTAAACACTAATAATTCTATTTTCACATTTCCCGAATGATCTATAAGTCAGCACTTTTTTTTTTTTTTTTTTTATAAGTAATATACAATCTATAGGTACCAATAGAGATACAATAAAAATATGGGCTATATTATTTACAATGACATGAAACGGTTGATGGAAGAAGCCACCCAGTAATGGCACTCCCTATTGAGTCAGCACTAAATACTAAATAGGTATCGGCTTATTAGCTCTGGAATTTGGTTTATCGCTGCTATAAATGACATCCCGTCATTTCTTATCATATTATTATAATGTTTAGAAAACACAAAACAATAGACTAGGTAGATATTGCCCTATTGCCGTTATTGGACATTTCACATTGGCAAAACAAATGTGTAATTACTAATTACTAATTAGTGATTTCCGCACGACCATTTATACTCGTTACTCATTGTCTATAGACTATAGTAATTCTCTTCGATGACTGAGGGATACGTTTTGGGAGAAAAGAACCAGAACGATGTCATTATATCTAAGTATCTTTCCCTATAAAGTATAAATACAAATATTGAATGGTTTGAGAATGAATGTTATTATTGACGATTATTTTTGTTTAAATCAACTGAAATATTGAGAGTTTTTATTTACCCATATTATAAATAATATCGTTTTACGATAAATATGTTTTCATTAATTGAGGATCTCTTATGATGATAATATAATATAATATATTAAAATTTCAAAAAATTACTCGAATGTAACAATACTCCTTTAGTCCTATCAAAAAGATACGCTCAGTGTAGTTGTACTGGCGTTCCCCCTTCATAGGACTACATTTTATAAGTATCTACTACCTACTTACTACCGACTGGTTAAGTATCGTCGTTGGGCGAGTAACATGTCGTATCTCAAGAAAAATCGATTTTGCGATTTATACATAAAAAAAAGCGGGAAAAAATAACATATAATTTGATAATTATATTAATATTAATAATAATAATTTCCAAGGAGATTGAAGACTTAATTGTAATTTTGCATAGATAATATTATATTATCTATGTAATTGTGGTGACTTCGGCGCTTATCACCACTTTGCTCTCACCGACCGAGTTACCACCCGCTCCGCGGTACCAACCATATTTTTATTGTCATTTGTGACTTATTTTATATTCGTTTTATTTATACAACTTCTGTGATTTTTATATATTTATGTTCCCACGCTAATCGATCTCGCGTCTCCGATTGGCGACGCCATCTCTGTCGTCCCCGACGCTCACGACGCGGCCGTCCGACCGGCCGGCATCGTTCTCTTTGCTCACCGCCCTCGACCGAGCCACACGTACCGATTATTTCGCTCCCGACCCGACGCCATGTTTCGACAACCGACGAGCCGTGTAACATTTACACGACCCGTAGGGTCCCCGTACACGACCGCTCGCCACGGCCTCCGAACTCATGCCCGACTCGCCTACGTACCGACGCTCGCTCGACCGCGCACGCATTGAGCACACATCCGATACCGCCGACCTGAACGACCATGCGCTCGACCCCAAAACGTACCCTCTATCGTCGTACTGCGTACGACCACATGTCTATATTTTGGTGTCAAACAATAAACGACTTTCGACGCAACCGCGTCAATCAACGACATTGTGTGTTCATTCATTTCAATACCTAAACTTGTGTACCTAAACCTCTCTGCGACGGAGTCCAGAACGAACGCATGTTGATACAGTGCGGGGCAACCCCCCTTGTACCACATAATTTTGACGTAACTTGATTACATGTTATCAGTGTTCACGTTTTTGTCTCTCCTGAACATTTTACTTTTTTGAGATACGACATGTTACTCGCGGGTCACTGCGTATAGACAGACCCGTTACTCGCCCAACGACGGTATGTGAACAAGTGAACATCAGAAAACTTTCACTATTAACGTTTTTCTTCATATTTAGCAACGCCATCTACTAGCTTCCTTTGAGACTAGATGAGTAAAACAATTTTACCACTAGATGTTGAAATAAATATCCTTTATTTTAAATTCCAAATATAATATTATATTATTTATTACCAAGGTAGATTATAATCACTATAATCTATTATTATTTATTACCACTATAATCTATCGTGTTTATTACCAAAGTATAAATAATAAAAATTCGTATGTTGGGGGAGAGCTCTGAGACACACCATCATAACACATACGATACGTCATAATTCTCCCCATTATTTTTAAAAGATAATTATAATATTTTTGTTTACCTATTACATGATAGGTAATATTGTAATATAACCTAATCTGTAAATTATTATTTAACAATAAAGCTATAGTGATGGATTTGATACCTACTTAATAATACTTATATAATAGATAGGTACCAATTTAACAATGTACAAGATAACTGTTGCCTATTGGCTATTTGTGGTGAGTAGGTACATTTAAACGAATGCCCCTCCCCCTAATCTGAATGATACATCCGACCATCCCTACGCATATTATACATAGGTACAATAAATTCTTAATAACGGTCGACTATAGACGTATATACGGCGTATGAACTATGCTCTATTATTCCTGCGAAGAACTTGTTCAAAGTTTCCGAACGGTAACTATATAGCTTAGGTGACAAATATATGGCAATTATGAGTCTAATTAATAGGAGGTTAGACGTTTATCATGCCGGGTTGCATAAACAATCACTATACACCTATTATATTATAATGAATCAGTAGTGAGCTAATGGTCCCTTAAACGCATGATTTAGTGGAGTGACAATGCTTTGTCCATTTAATTTTGTTGAACCATTAAATTAATCGATTTTTCAAGCAACAGTTTCCGCTATTGAAGCGCCACTCGACTGGCGTATCCCTCGGTAAATTGTCAACGCGTTTTGTTGGACCGGCGAAGACGCGAAGTGTTGACTCTTGAGGTTCATAGTACGAAAGGGTTTATTTCACTTTAGATATTGTTTGTCACACTGTACACCACTAAAATATTAAACACTCACTCGCGGAAGGCGACGGGAAAACTGTTCGATCGAGAATCCGATGGCGTCTGTATACGTCACGACCGACTCAAAGAAAACGCGTCCTACTATATACAGCACTATATTATATCGTCTCCTTGCCATATTATATTATTCATAAGCCATTTAGATTTGTTTTCAGTGTACGCGCCACCAATCGCCATCAGACTTTTTTTTAGCATGGCAAATGAATAATAAATATTATGATAGCTTCGTATCCGTATTATTATGTAGGTACAAGCAGTCGGTCTGACCCTCCCGGCTACCCGGCGATCGCCGGGGTCCCCTGGATATTTTCATGTATTAGGGGCCCATAGCTAAATGAAGACAAATATTATGTTTACTCGAGATTCCAGACTCGGGTTCCAATCAAATCAATTTGTAAACATTGAACCATTGGTTATAAATATTAGTATATCTATTATTGAGGCCGGCGATTACAATATCTTAAGTCCGTGATCTTTAGATTTATGCCATATACCTATTACCTATATAATTATATTATATCTTTTAGCCGTGGTCGGCAGTCGGCACTGACGAGACAAAAATAGATTTACTGTAGTTTTCCAATAATAA